AATCGAGGAAGTGTATGAGAGGGAAATTACTTCCTTATCAGACTTGTATACTAATGCTCTTTACTTGTATCTTTGTTTTCAACCTTGGTTGTCAAGCTACTACACACGTAACTTAGGCGTCTAGAGAGGAGACACGACAAAAAAAACAACAAAATTTAATTATGTTTTCCATGGAGTGTTTGCTGGATTAAATCGGTTCGAGTACCTTTATGTTTTATTGGAAACTCTATACATGTTTACTAATTCAAGTTGAGAGAGAAGTTACAGCATACTAGTCAGCATATTGAAAATAGAGTTCGATGATCTCATACCTCCATGACATGTGTATTGCTTTCATAAATCTTACGCATGGTGATGACCACCTGTAATTGGCTTACATTTTTCACCGCATATATTCAAATTATATGAGGCCATTTGCATATATTGTATCAATTGATCATACTCTCCACCAAATGACAGGGTTATCTTAAGAAATAAGGCTATTCTAGCGTTTCCTCATAAATTATGCAAATGAGGTCCTGATTGAAATAAATTATGTTTAGTGATGTTCACCTTCACTGAACTTCCAATTATGGCAAGTATTAAATTCCCAGCAGTTACAACCATAAAATTGTACCAATTTGCCATTTATTATGCAAATTAGGTCTTCCTTTACATAATATCTGCCAATGATCTTGTCGTTCTCACTAACATATGTCTATAGAGTTTTATAGCCCTAATATGAAATACAGCTGATTTATAGACTTTCCTCATTAATTATGCAAATTAGATCCTGATTTGCATAATTATATTTTGATTATGTCAAGCATCACTTAAGCTACGTACATACCAAAAATCATGATGATCCATCAAACGGTTGTTCAGTTATCCTCTCTCGAATATTTTTAAAGAAACCATCCTGCAGTTCCAGAACAAGCCGCTAGGGGGCCTAAACTCACGTGACTTCTTCCCGAGGACAAGAGCTACCTTCCATCCAAATTTCATGACCCTAGCATGTCCAGATCGCGAGATATCAAAACCGGAAGTTGCGCTGCAGTACCAAGGGAAGCCACTAGGGGGCCCAAAATCTAATCATTTCCAGTTTTCGTCACACCCTACCAACACACCAAGTATGAAACCAATCCATCCAGGCGTTCTTGAGTTATCTTGTTGACCAACAGACGGACGGACATACGGACAGACGGACAGATAAACGCAACTGAAAATATAACCTCCATGACACATTTCATGGAGGTAATAAAAAAACATAAAAAACAAAACATGATTAGTTTTTGCTGACATGCTATTTATTCTATTTTATATGGTGCCCCCCCACACACACACACACAAATTGTGCACCCCATATTTGTTTTTTAGATTGGGTGCACCAATGCACCTACACGTATTCCCATACATGAATTTCGAGCCCTGTTACCATTATTAGTTGAACCTATCGGTCGTTTACAGGACAAAATGTGACTCTATTAAACCAAGGAGCTTTCATCACCTTGCTCTAACGCCACACCAATCTAATCAATATAAAATTGCCCTTTATTATCTTTAGTAAGATAATTTTAGTAGCTTCCTTACAAGATCCCGATGTTGAGAAGACGTCCTGTATTTCTTGAGTCTTGTGAGATCTTGTGAGTGTTCAAATTACTTTCCTTACTTACAACGTCCTTTCATACTAGTAGTATATACACCCTAGCGGTCGTTGGCAGGGCAAGTGTGAATCTAAGGCGGACCATGCCCATATAATATATACTAATACATTAACAGTTAGCCTTGTAAATAAAAAAGTGAACCTATCGGTCGTTGAGAGGGCAAATTGTGAACCTAACGCCACACTTATTACCTCCGTGGGAGGAGACATCCTTCCGCGGAAGGGTTTTGTGAGAGATTTAGATTTTCATGTTCGCAGCTGTTTCCCGCGTTTGGGTGGACGGATTCTTTTGAGACTCGGTATATGTTTTTCTATTGGGCTGCAGATGATGCACGTTCTTTTGTTTTTATTGTATAATATCATTTGTTTTCGGGCGTGAAAATGGTGCCTTTTGGTGGCCCCAAAACACCCCTCTGAGCGTGGAAGTGGTCGCGACCGTTGACCTTTGGCGGTCTGGTCCACGTATATGACCCCTCACACAGAGGGGTGTCAGGTCTCGATAAATTCTTTGTTTAAAACCCTATATTAAAATATACTAGTACAATAAAGAGCCCGGAGGTATAAAATCTCAGATTTTTACTTGTTTAATCAATATAAAATTTAGGCAAGTACACTCGGGATTTGAACATTGTAAACCTATAACATAGGATATAATGTAACATTTTTGCATCAAAAAGTGAAATATTTTATTTTTAACAAAAATTCGTGCAATCGTAATTTACTTCCACTTTTTAAAATATTTCTGACATTTATAGTTGGCATTGTGAGGCACATAGCCAGGTATCCAGTCTGATCGTGGTCGGGGCCGTAAGAGCTCGGGGCCGTAAGAGCTCTGGCCCGCATAGGTTTCCCGGTGTGTATTTCAAGAGAGATTAATTAGCCCTCCACGAACGTGTTGGGGGAAACCAAATCCCCAAGCATACTGTCTCTTATTAGCGTAACTCTCCTACCGGGACGGTCTGTTGCACTGGGCGGGGGAAGCTCTTAGAGCCCCCGAAGGCACAACCTGCCCGAACACCCCAATACCCCCAATCACGGAAGACTGGATACCAGGCTATGAGGCACAAGGAGTGATTTTTAATGAAACTTTTACATTAAAAACATTCGCAAGGCTTCATATTGTGCAACATCCTGGCACTTTATTCCAATCGAATATTATTTATTCAACATGCTTTGAAATGACCAGAAATGTGATCGTTTAAGTGTCGTCCTAATATTACATTATGCAGCTTTAAGTCCAGTAATAAGACATCAAACATTGATATCATCATATTTATTTAAGTAAAAACACCCAGCTAGTAATTTTTATGCATATAGATAGAATGATTATGATGGTTAAAGATTTTAAACAGATTTGATATGCCACAAAAAAGTTTAAACAAACGAGTTTGTGAATTAAAAGCAGTAAAAACATTACATTTACTAATCAAGATGGTGTAATTTTTAAATATGCATGATTTTATATGCAAATGCTCAATATGTAAGTTTTTGTTCTATAGCAAGCAAGTGTTATGCTAACCATTGATTTTAGTGCTATTCATATTTATAAGTATACATTATGTAAAGTATCTTATACTGCAATATTTCTATATAAATTCTATATGAATAAAGGTACACATATATATGCAGCAGTATATATATATATATATCTATATATATATCAAAATGGATTTACTTCCATCATCACAATGCTTTAAGAAAGCTGTCAATATTGCTATAAAAGTGTGCTTTAAACCACAATTTGTATACAACAAAATATTCATTCATTTTCTATCATATATATGTAATCTATTGTACATGTTGGTGTTGTGAACCAGTAAAACCTAGCGCCAGTGTACATGTTAGTCTTGATGAAGATGACAGACAGTCATCGAAACATCGGTTGTGAATAAAACGATTGTGAATAAAAGAACTTTACTATTCAATCACTTAATATACAACCAGATGAAATTATCTATTGACTGGGAATGTGTTTTATAGTTCTACTGTAATGTCACCAGACATCAGGGTTGTGGTGCAGTCCGTACAGGTGAATGGCTACATAGGTGTCCTTCGGGATGGGAACGTCGTTAATGACCGTGTCCTCGGTGGTGGTGCGGGAGATGAGGTGAACGATAATGTGGAGCCTCATGGACTCCTTCATGCACATGGTCAGGTATGTCAGTTTGTTCAGGTCCTCCCTGTCATGTACCAGGTGTTAATATAGAGTATTCTTATAATAATTTTACATAATTTATATATCATTATCAGGTCTTTAGGTTGATGTAACAGTGGGAGATTCATACTGACTGACCCGGCCGATGGATGGGTCTTAAAGACCTTTTCAGCCGAGCGGTTTAGAGCGTCAGCCTGTGGACTGGTGCCCAGGTTTTGTCGTGGGTTCAAAACCTAGCCCGGGACCAGGGGGTTTTATCTGTTTCTACTCGCTCCTCCTGGTTCTTACATTCGTTCCCACACCGGCCCTGGGAGTTCTGGCAAAGAGTGCCGCTCCAGGAATGTCGAATTCAAAACATTCGAGGACGAATCTTGAAAAGAAAAGTGGAGAAGTGTAACAGTGGGGGGTATATAGGTGCTACCAACTGACCCGGTCGATGGGTCTAGACCTTTTAGCCGAGTGGTTAGAGCGTCGGCGTGTGGACTGGTTCCCGGGTTTGGTCGTGGGTTCGAACCCCGGCCTGGGACTAGGGGTTTCATCTGTTTCTACTCGCTCCTCCTGTTTCTTACATTGAGTTATGATGTTGACCTACATAATTACAGATTCACACCACAGCTGCTCCACAAGACCCTAACCGAAATCATACCCTTCTGACAAAGGCAATCATGCTATATTATGTACCATTCAATTGTGCTGCCGTCCCTCCCAGACAGAACTTCCTCCACCTCCTCCTGTACCTTCTGCTGGTGATCAGGGTGTTGAGCCAGGGAGTACAGGGTCCAGCACAGGGTACTGGACGTGGTGTCATGTCCTGGGGATAGAACATGAGGCCCATTACAGGGTGATTACATATGTCGTATAGGCTGTTGCATGATTTTTAGAGTTATAGTCTGGTGGAAACATATAAGAGTCTGAATGCTGACGTGGTCCCACCAGAGGCGGTGAAGCTCATCCTAGAACGGACACATTATTTGTCCATTACTGCTCTTTAAGTTGCTGCCACGTAAAATTTGGTATTGCATATTTTTTATTATCAGATAAATAAAAATTACCCCGTAATCCATGACCAGGTGAAGTCACATTGAAATCACATTGCGTTCAGACACAAATCGTGATGGGGGGAAACCGTTTCGCAACCACCTCTAGAAGTGGTTTGGGATCGAGGCACTTTCAATGTGATTTGGAGCGTTCAGATGGGGCCACTTGAAACAGGTTTCGGGGAAAACAAACATGTAAGGCGCCTTCACTGACTTCATATGAACAGGGCCAAAAATACAGTTTACCAGTTGTGAAAAACACAATTTACCTGCAAACAGGAAGGTGTCCACCTGCTCCCTGATCTCGTCATCTGTCATCCCTCGCCCATCCTCGTCTCGCGCCGTCAGCAAAATGTCGATAAAATCCAGCCTCTTCTTCTCCGCTAATGTCTCAGGATCACGTTCCTAAAACACAAAAATTGAAGCATCCTGATGTAAACAATTCAGACAAGTAGTGATAGACAAAGATGTTGTCTTTTAATCTACCTTTCACATTATATCATGGATAGGCAAATAATTTTGTTATTAGAAAACATCTCCGAGCAAAGTCAAACACATTCATGAAACTGAACTTGACCTTCATCATCCCTACACCTACCTACATACTAAATATCGTACATGCCTTGCTCTTAAATTATGCTGACCACGAATCTATGGAAACACAGACACACACATGCACACGCACACGCACACACACGCAAAGACACACACACAGACACACACACACACACATAGTATAAAAATTATCCTTAACATATTAATGATAGCAAATACCAAATGTGAGTTGTATCTACATGCCGTTAATGGATCAAAGTAAACCATGAACTAACCAGTTCTTCCCTCCTTTTCCTGATGACGGAATTTGCCGTGTCGTGAACAAAGTCACACACACGGTGGAACTCGCGCCCTCCTGGGCTCAGGTAGTAGATGGTGGGAAATATGTAGTACAGGGTGTTCCTGCAAATACAGGTTAGGCCAGACCAAGTTAGTAACTGTTGGTTCTCGGATTCGCCTGCTCAACTTTTTTCTGATTTGCAGAAATGAAGGGTCCAGATTCTGAATCAGCTCCAAAATCACTACATTTAGGCCCAAACAGCTCCTTGTCTTCCATTTTTTTTTACATTATTTACATCTATCAATGCATTGGTTTGATAAAAAGTTCGATAAAAATTTATTGTTAGAATTATAAACCAGCCTGGTATGTTGACGTCATGGCTCCTATCATAGCTTTTGGGGCTAATATGGAATGCCTTAACGCCTGTTTTTAATTTTATCTCACAAAATTTCACTCACTTAATGACTTCAACCATTAAGTCTCCAATCCTCTTCACTGCTTCAAGATAGTCTTCCTTGGTCCTGTGTGGAGGAATTGATATAAAATATCAGACAAGTATGTGGTAATTATTTTTTGGATCATTTTATCAGACAAGTATGTGGTAATCATTTTTTGGATCATTTTATCAGACAAGTATGTGGTAACCGTTGGAATTTTTAAGGCCAAATGCAGGAACCACCCCTCATCCGACTACTAACTTTTGAACAATTTTTAACCTATCTGAATTTCCAACCGTTCCATCTTTCCTTTCCTTTTCTCTTTTGACTATAGATATTCTTATGATTACTATATTAATTTGATGATGATGTGTCTTCGATATTGTATAATGCACTGTTATGTTTTGCTATTTGGATATTCGTAACTTCTTGTTAGGTCCTGTATATTGTATTGACTTGTCCTGTGTTGTGTTGTATGTACCAGTGGCAGCCGCCACCAGCCTTTAGGCTGCCTGGCTCCCACTTGTAATGCATTGTGGCATCACCAATAAAGAAAAAAGAAAAAATGAAATGAAATCATGTTCCTGCCTTATACACCATGTGTTGTACTTTAAACACTACTGTTTGTGCCCTGCCTGTCCTCTGTATAATGGTACGCTCCAAAAAGAGGTCGGTTGTTCTAATAACCGACCACTAATAATCGACCACTTTTAAAATTACGGCCTGATAACCGATGGGAAATGGAGCCTTCTGGTTGGTTCTCGCTATATGGAAATACTATATAATACCTGGTAAGTATGTCGAACCCTGAAATACATTTAATTATTAATAAACTACTAACTTGTCAGACATTCCTCCACCAGAAAAAGCACACTGAAGGATGATCTCCATGGTACAAAGACTGGCATGCTGGAACAGCTCAACACTTTGGTCTTTCCCGTCATATTCTGCAAGCTTTTCCTACACACAAGTGAGAGAGTATTTAGTAATTATATTATTTTCAAACGCCACGAGATACTTGACCAAAACAAACCATGCTATCATTTATCATCTAACTAATTCCACATCATGTGACCCTTTCATTATTTGTTGATATACATTTGTACCAGAGGGTAATCAATGTCAGTAGTTGAACAGTGTCTTCGTAAGCTGCCAGTAGCAGTCAACTCTCAACTTGTGGACAGTAACCGTCAGTAAAAATGTAGAGATCAGTCAGAAAATTCCTAGGAAGCACGATTCAGTACTTGTCAGTTGCATCACAGTGACCGTCGTGACAGTTAGTGCTTTACTGAATTGTGGCTGAAATGAGACTGTCAACAAGCGATCGGTTGCTGACAGTAACATATCAGTACTGGTGGTTTGCTAAGGGTGTGTTACTGATGAATTGTGACTGAAATGAGACTGTCAACAACTGACTGGTGACAGTCACATTACTCAGTAATCAGTACAATCCGTACTGATGGTTTGCTAAGAGTGTGTTACTGATGAATTGTGAATGAAATTAGACTGTCAACAACTGACTGGTGACAGTCACATTACTCAGTAATCAGTACAATCAGTACTAATGGTTTGCTAAGAGTGTGTTACTGATGAATTGTGACTGAAATGAGACTGTCAACAACTGATCGGTTACTGACAGTCACATTACTCAGTAATCAGTACAATCAGTACTGGTGGTTTGCTAAGAGTGTGTTACTGATGAATTGTGAATGAAATTAGACTGTCAACAACTGACTGGTGACAGTCACATTACTCAGTAATCAGTACAATCAGTACTAATGGTTTGCTAAGAGTGTGTTACTGATGAATTGTGACTGAAATGAGACTGTCAACAACTGATCGGTTACTGACAGTCACATTACTGAGTAGTCAGTACAATCTGTACTGGTGGTTTGCTAAGAGTGTGTTACTGATGAATTGTGACTGAAATGAGACTGTCAACAACTGACTGGTGACAGTCACATTACTGAGTAATCAGTACAATCAGTACTGGTGGTTTGCTAAGAGTGTGTTACTGATGAATTGTGACTGAAATGAGACTGTCAACAACTGACTGGTGACAGTCACATTACTGAGTAATCAGTACAATCTGTACTGATGGTTTGCTAAGGGTGTGTTACTGATAAATTGTGACTGAAATGAGACTGTCAACAACTGATCGGTTACTGACAGTCACATTACTGAGTAATCAGTACAATAAGTACTGGTGGTTTGCTATTGATAAACTCACGATCATCTCTTCAGCGGCCATGTTGTAGACGCTGATGTACTGTTTGAGAATGTCGAAATGGAACGCGGGAGTCAGAAGACGTCGTTGAGCCTTCCAGACAGGACCATCACTCAAGACCAGGCCGTTACCTATCAACAACAATAACAACGACAGACATCATTCCCAAATCTGGAAAGATTAGGGAATAACCTAATTGCCTAATCTAGTTATTCTCTAATAACTACGGATAATTAGTAGATATCAATTTGTGCAAACGTACATGTGTAGCCTTGACGATTATGCACATGAAAATCATATTTTTACTTCAGTTACTTGTACCAAAGTGCTATATTATAACTTTAAAGATAATTACATTTGGGGCAATAAAATGTGATGATGTCACCCATATGGTCCATAAAATCATATTCATAACCCTTTTGTATCCACTGCAGGTATCAATATTCAGTAAGACTGCAGCGTTCTTTCTAAATTTCTATGTGAGAAAATGATGGAAAGTTAAAATGCCAAATTAGCCAGTGAGGAAACCTAATACATGATGACACACCAAAAGTACTTTCGTAAGAGTTTAAATCTACAACTGTACAAAAATACAAATTATGATTTCATGTTACAAATTGTCAAATGTAAAACATTAAATATCAATACACAGGGTTTAAACAATGAGGTTTTCAATCGGATTGAAATGTCTTCAGTTTGACAGTTTTAACAGTAAAAGTTTGACAGTAAGTTAAATATTCACAGTCAAAAGAAATATTGTGTTTCTTACCCAGCCAGGGTCTCAGATGATCGTAATCCTGAGACTTCTTGGCTAAAAAAAATGATGCACAAAAGAGATCTTGAGGATATGATTATGAATACATCATGATCATTCAAAATAATAAGTAACGAAAAATTTAATTACTATATTTAAAAATTGATTGACCTGAATAGTATTGTATGTACTATGTAACTTGTTTGTTTGTTTGTTTGTTTGTTTGTTTGTTTGATTTTTCAATCAGAAAAAAATGAGGCCGGCAAATCTGAAAACAAACTATCAAGACATTAAATTGTCAAGTCAATCAAGACATGGCCCCCCGGCTACCTTCTCTCGCCAATTAATACCCTTTTTATGCCGATTTCTACGATTTATTCAGCCTGCAAAAGACGTCTGGTGGAGACCACCAATGTATACTTACCGGGAGCCTTCAGCAGCTGTTTAATTGGTGCAGGATGAGTGAGAGTGATCAGGGGCATGTAGCCGGGCATCCACAGTGTGTGAGCACGAGGGTGTTTCTCCACTACATCTCTTACCATGGCCAGGTATTCCTCACCAAATCCGTCACCAATCTGCAAAAAGTGCAAAAGACTCTAAAGTGCTGTACATAGACCATAAAAAAATATCTGTATCTGTATAGCCGGTATAACTGCCCTTCGGAAAAATACACCAGCTTCAAAGGCTCGCTTTGCGCGGCGGCAGCTGGCTACATTTGTGCCACCGAACGACTTGTTACATCTAACCTTTGAACATCTAACCCTGAACATTGTTTAAAGCTAATATGATAATGCCCCTACTGTACTTAGTGAAAGCAAGTTCTGCAATAGTTCTAAGGAAAGAATGGGTTTTCGAACACCTCAATCCTTGGTTGATAACTACTAGTACTTAAAGGCATGACACTCACTTACTATAATGTGATATATGGAATTAATACACCCAATTATGCTTCATGAAAAATTTCCAGACAATGCTTTAAACGGTGAATTAAAGTGCTCATGACACCAAAATACTATTAATTGGCCTTATCTGATCGTAGTTGACATAGCCTGATTAAATCGCTTTTGCCGGCCGCCCAACATCCAGCCGGCCCCCTTGGGTGGCGGACTATGTAGGGAGCCCCCCCGGAGCTTGGGTTACATAGGCTATAGTTGACATAACTGTTTACATATATAATCAATACACACAGTTCTCCTGTTACATTCGAATTTTAACTCGGAAAAGTCGGCACAATTCGTTCCAAGCAGACTTTATGCAGCTCTAAATTTTATTTTTGCATTTTTTCCGGACCTGACATCACAGAAATGCAAAAAGGAAACATAGAGATGCAAAAAGAGATGCCCAAGGCAGGCGATTGGTAAGCTAAATGTGGATCCGAACAAAGTTGAAGTCTAAGCATCTTCAAAACAAAAAATGCACTTTTGGAAGGTTGTACAAACTCCATTTCTCATGATCAGTCATGATTAGAATCAACTTTAAGTGAGATAACTTTCAATATTTATACATATTTTACATTTGGCATCATGTGATCTCTAAACTAAATGTCCAGATATGATGGTAACTTCAATGGTTGACACTATGCCTCTTGGAAAAATGAAGAAGACTCTCTCTTATTGGGCCTAGGAAATAAAATGTTGTGTTTCCTGTTTCAGTCCTGAAAAAATTTAGGGTCGGTAGGTAGGGATTTTTTTTTTCTTTTTTTACTACACTTTGGCAATCTCTAGTGATTGAACTTGTTTAAGAAAGAAAATTTGCATGAGGACACTTATATTTTCAATGTCAATGTTGGAAATCCAAATCGTACGTTTCATCACTCAGCCGACTCCGGTGTCAGATTAAGGTAAGGTTACGTAGAAAAAGGTCAATCAGCTAAAAAAAAGTCATGCCCCTTGCACGGGTCCACCAAAAAACCTGGCTAGGTTCATCAATTTTTTCTAGGGTCGGTCGGGAAACAGGAAATACAACATTTTTTTTTTTCCTTAGGCCTTGAGGACCTCACCAAATGTAGGTTACAATACAGCCAGTGGAAGGGCGGGCAGGGAAAATTCAGTCCAGTACGGATGTCCCGAATGTACTTCTTCAGGAACTTCAGGACCACGAACACGAGATACGCGGCGACTGGAACCGACACTCCGACCGCAACCTCCCATAGACTGACTCCTGTCTTCATGGTGTTCAGCTGTTCAGCTGAGTGGGGAAAAAAATCACAGATTCATTCAATTCAATTTATTTATTGAACCAGTAATTTGACAGCTCAGGTCATTTAGGCCTTTTCAGGTAACATATAAAAATACACACAACAAATACACAGTACATAAACTATTACTAAATACAACATCCTAAACATCAACTGGATCAAGTCCTGCTCATGATCTGTTTAAAAGTCCTGAGTCAAGTTCCTATACATGTATCTGCCAACAATCATTTTCTAAACAAAAACTATGATGCAAATGTGCTGATAACATACTACCTTACAATACTGTTAATTACATGTTACTTTAATGTTCAGGGTAGCAAAAGTTTGGGGTCTGGGGAAAATGGACATTCGTGGTGGCGGCAGGTGCAGCAAAAAGAAAGTCGTCAAATTATTTGTACAGAAGTGACCAGGAAAACCATGAATATATATAAAAATACTGCAAAAAAATTGTGACATACAGCATGCCCGTAGCCAGAGGGGTTCAGGGGGGTTCGAGGCTTTCAGAGGACCCCCCCCCCCACAAGGCTCAAAGGTCCACTGGACGAATATTCAGATTCCAGACGTTACATCTGTATCTATATCGGTACAGCCGCCCTTCAGCGTAACACACCAGCTTCGCAGGTACACGGCGCGGCGGCAGCTAGCTATATCACACTCGGTTGGGTTAAGGCAGCCTATGGCCAACTATAATTAGTATTTCATACATATGGCTGTAACTTTTGATAGCTTGGTCGCATCACAACTTAACTTCACACAGTTCTAGTAGTACTTGAAACACATTGAATAAAGGTTATTTTGTTTTTACTACTTCTGAATTTTTGGGTTAAAAATCAACATTTTGGTTAAAAAAAAGCTGTTTACTTCATGGCTTTACGCCCAAGCGGTAACAACACCTTTCATCATGATATTTTGCAAGTAGAAAGCCAACCCCCTATTTATTATTTTTGTCCGAGGCTATTTTGTTTTAAATGACAGTTACATTGTTTTTTTGGGCCAAAAACGACAGAAACGGCTATTTTTCTGTCATTTTTTGTTAAATAATCGCCACAGTTAAAAAATTTCGACTTATATGCAAAATAGCCTCGGACAATTTTGATAAAAAAGTGATAATACGTAAACATGGATTACTCTAAAGATGAATTATGTTGTTTTCAGCTGGGCGTAAAGCCGTTTAAGTCATACTCCGTGAATAAAATGCGTAACAACGCGGGTTTACAGGGGAAACATACAAATGACCGCCGGTAACCCCGAATTCGAACACACGTTCTATTCGAATGACGTCATATCGAACATGGTGGAACATGATTCGGGTTCGAAACATGTTTGTGGCAATCGTGCAGACACACGGCGGAACTCGAACATGAATATCAGCCTAGGCCGCCTTAACCCAACCGAGCACGGAACGACTTATTACACTCAATCTTTGCACATTTAAGTGCAGGAGTTGTTTAAAGCTTTCTGGTGATTTTGCCCCAACTGTGCTTGGTGGCAACGAGTTCCAGTCTACGATAGTTCCGGGGAAGTACGAGTTTTTGAATACCTCAATTCTTGGTTGATAACTCTGATATTTGAAGGCATGTCACTGTTTCTTGTTCTTTTCTGGGCCAGCGCTGGTACCAGATACTTAGTGGTTGGTACGTCCACCAGTTTATTAGTCATTTTGTACATCATGCACAGTCTGGACATTCTACGTTTGTCTTCCAGTGACCCCCACTGTAGGTTTCTTTTCATTTCCGTTACATACATGTAGGTCAGCAAGTCCAGACCCTGTGGTAGCTAGCGACATTAGGGAGCGGGCGACTTTTGCGGAGGATGGCACCCAGGCTAACGAATTACAAGAAATTCACATAGCTGATGCTTGCCAGATTCCAGAAAAGTGGGACCTTTGGTGGCTTATAGATCTCAGGTCCTGGTAACCACGCCAAGTCCAGTCAGGACCGGACCGTTTTTTCCATCAACCCAATTGAACTGGTTGGACAGCCTGACACCAATTTTGACACTACACAAAAACTTCAGGAAACCAAAAATCATGAAGAAATTCATTGTTTGCTGTGTCATCTTGCTCAAAAGTCACCTTCGAAATATAAA